GACTGCCCGCAGCTGCAGGCGTGCGCGGGGTGCAAGGCAGAGCTGCCGTGCTGAGTCAGACGCGGCAGGTAGTGAGGACACAAAGATAGATGTCGCTGTGATTTGGAAACCTCTCCCATTACCCGGGAGCTAGACTGGAAGATTTGATTTTTACCAAAATAGACATGGTTGAGGGTTTATAACAGGCGTCCTCAAACTACGGCCCGGCACATGTACCCTGCCCGCCGGGTGTGTTTGCCGCCGCTGCCTGTCCTGCTTAGCAGCCGGCTCGTCCCGGGCCCACAGTGCGCACTCTCCAACGGTCTCAGGGACAGTGACCTGGCCCCTGTTTAAAACGTTTGAGGACCCCTGGTTTATGATTTGAAGAGCAGGGGACCTGTGGGTGGGTGTGACTGACTTCTCCACACGACGCCAGTAGCCAGGCTCTTGCTTTTAGGGGATTTTGTCACCTGAAATGGCGAGCCCAGCTGTCAGGCAAGACCAGCCCCATCCATCCCTTACAAACATGGGCTCACCACAGTAGGCTGAGAAGATGACTTTAGTAATGGAGTGTGCGCTTAACTAAGTAGTTAACTAAGTGTAGTCCACTACGCTTAACTGAGTTAACTGTACACTGTATTAATCCCCGTCTATGCAGTGATTCTCAAAGGTATTCAACCACTGCTTAGCAGCTGCTCCCAGTCCAGCCTGTTCTTTAACTGTCTCGCTGTTGTGTTGCAAGAAATTTCTAGATGGTGCCGGCTGGGAAGCAGTGTGGCACATCCAGGTGGCTCTGTCTGCGATTCTTTTTTTCCTCAAATATTCATTTCAGGATCGATCTGCTGATTGTCCACCTGACAGGAAGTGACTCCTTTGATATTTTGTTTCTTTATTAAGTTATATAGATGAAAATTTATTTTTTCTTTTTTCTTTTTGTATTTTAGCATATTATGGGGGTACAAGTGTTAAGGTTATATATATTGCCCATGGCCCCTGCTCATCCTTTTTTATATTTATTTATTTATTTTTATTTTAGCATATTATGGGGGTACAAGTGTTAAGGTTATGTATATTGTCCATGTCCCTTGCTCATCCTTTTTTTTTTAATTTTTTTAGCGTATTATGGGGGTACAAGTGTTAAGGTCATGTATATTGCCCATGTCCCCTTTCCCCCTCGAGTAAGAGCTTCAAGTGTGACCATCCCCCAAACGTTGCACATCTCACTCGTTGTGTTTGTATACACCCCTTCCCCCTCCCCCTCCCACCCGCCCAACACCCGATAGCTGTTATTCCTATATGTCCACTGAGGTGTTGATCCGTTAATACCAATTTGCTGGTGAGTGCACATGGTGCTTGTTTTTCCATTCTTGGGATACTTCACTTAGTAGAATGGGTTCCAGCTCTAGCCAGGAAAATACAAGAGGTGCTAGATCACCGTCATTTCTTATACCTGAATAGTACTCGATGGTACACATACACCACATTTTATTAATCCACTTATGTATTGATGGACGCTTGGATTGTTTCCACAACTTTGCAATTGTGAATTGTGCTGCTATAAACATCTGAATCCTTTTATTGAAATCAACTCTGTTCGGGACCAGGAGCTGCGGTTCATAACAAGCTTTCGATAGAAAACTGCAAACTTCAATGTCCCATCCATTAAAGTGATTTTTGGATGGCAGGCGTGTCCTCTGGCAAACCTGAGCTGCTCACCTCGGTTTATAGAGCCTGTATAGGGTGACTGGGATGCTCAGAAGACCATTCATAGTATGGTTAGTTGAGTAATACCTGGTCCAAATGGTGGTGCTCGTAAAGTTTCATTTACTACTTTGGCAATCGGCTTGACAATGTGATACTTTAATGTATAATTGGATACGCAATTGGGTTCTGTTATAGTGCAGTGGTTTGGCATAATTATTTTCCAGGGCTGTGATTTTCTAGTTAATAAATACTTTTGGGGGTTACAAATTCTTAAGCGTCAACACTCTATACTCCTTGAAAGTGGGAGGCGCACTAATTAATATAAGAGCTTATTTCAGCATTTTTGGCTTCACAGGCAGCACTAAAAAAAAAAAAGAAAAAAAAAGAACTTGCTTCTACTCAAACAAGTTAGGCTTAAGACAAAGCTTTGGCAACTAATCAAGTGATTAATGTCCGTTGATTACCTGAATTTTTCTCCAGGGAGGGGCAAAAAAATTGGGCTTTGGAACCTTCACATAAATAGAGGGACCCCAGGGTATTATGGTCTGTGTGCAGATAGAGGTCTCACAATGTAGGGTTTAGTCACAGGTTCCTTCCCATAGAGAGGAAGAGGGGAGGCAGTGAACGTACTTTTATACAAAGAATTATTTGAAGAACCCCCAGGGTTCTAAGGAAGCAGCAGCAACCATACCATCATCTGTCTTATAGAGGTGATTCATTAGGTCACCAAGAAGATCCAAAGTGGGTGACAATCTGCTCAATCACCAGCACGTACAGCAAGTCCACTCGGTGTCTGGCAGGACTGGAAGGATATTCAGCTCAATGTCAATCAAAATGGTCCAGGAGGCTTCTCGGGGACTTTGGGAAGCACCTGATTAAAGAGAGGCAGGATGGGTATAGGGCAAGGACAGAGCAATTTTCAAACTAGTTGAGAGCAAACTTGGCAGGGGAGGTTTCCCTCTGATTCCTTCTCTAGCCGGGCCCTTCTTTATGAAGAGTTATGCTAGTCCTTTTACGTCCCTGCTCTGACCCTTGAATATCTTCTCATTATGATAGGGAAAAAACCCCACCCCAGGGCCCCATGGCTGAACTCACTCCTGATTGGATACTTTTTGAATCCCACTGCTGATTGTATTGATGTATTGGATGTAAAGCTTGTTGCTGATTGGATGCTTTTTGGATCTCACTGCTGATTGGATAGGTAAAGCTTGTTTCTGATTGGATATGCAAAGCTTGTTGCTGATTGGATATGCAAAGCTTGTTGCTGATTGGATATGTAAAGCTTGTTGCTGATTGGATAGTTTTTGAATCCCACTGCTGATTGGATAACTCCTCATGCTCATAGTTGATTGGTTGTGTGTCACCCCAAGAAGTGTATAAAGCCGGAGGAGAACAAGGAAGCGGGGCTCAGAATTTGGCGGCATGCCCCTCTGAGCCTACCGGCGGGATAAAGGCTGATTCTACGACCCTCCGTGTGCCACTGGGTTCTTTCCCTGGTTAGTCACTGTAACACTTGTTGTTACACTTGCTGGAACAATTAAACCAAAAATAAAAGTCAAACTTCCAAGCCCTGTCCCCAGGCTGCAAACAACGTGCCCTCCCCCAACCCAGCCCAAGGCCTTTCTCTCACTGTTCCAGCCAGTTGCTCAACCACCAAGCTTTCTGGAAGGTCTGCACTTGCTGTGTCTTCAGCCTGAACCACTCTCCTCCCCCCACACCCAGCTCTTTGCGTGACCAATTTTCATTACTCAGTCTCAAGTCAAATCTCACTTCTTGGATGGGGTCGTACTTCAAAACACGCCCTGCTCAAAGTTCTACTCTCCCTGCAAATTGCTATGCTCTGTTTTTCTTCAGAGCATGTAGAATAGGAAATTATTTTGCCTCCCAAGCATCTGTCATAAAAAATACTGAAGCCTTCTAGAGTTCATCTCAATGGAACTGACGCTCCAAGTGTTGAAGGCTCGTGCTCCGGCCTCACGCCCTTCCCGAGAGCCGCACTTCCCTGCCACGGCCCTCCCCCGGGCTGTTCATGCCACGTGTAATGACATATTTCCCCAGTGTTTCCTTTCATGAAGGAAAATCATGGAAATACAGTTAAGTCGACTCTTATTGTTAACTTAATTATACTTTAAAAAGAGACTTGAGATGACTTGCCATAAACGGGGAGTCATCCTAAAGATAAATATGAACAAAGCAATCTTACCATATATTCTACCTACAGTCTCGCTGGCTCCTCTCTTCCATTAGAGGTCAGGTTGGGGCCATGGGGAGGACAAACGAGGGCCACTGAGACTTTCTTCTTGACCAGTCAGAATGTTCCAGCACGTGCACAGCAAGTGTTAACAGTGACTGACCAGGGAAAGAACCGAGCGGCACACAGAGGGTTGGAGAATCAGCCTTTGTCCCACTGGTGGGCTCAGAGGGGCATGCCGCCAAATTCTGAACCCCACTTCCTTGTTCTCCTTCGGTTTTATACACTTCTTGGGGTCACACACAACCAATCAACTGTGAGCATGAGGAGTTATCCAATCACGGTAGGATCCAAAAAGTGTTCAATCAGCAACAAGCTTTAATATTCAATCAGCAACCAGATTTACACATCCAATCAGCAACAAGCTTTACATATCCAATCAGCAACAAGCTTTACATCCAATCAGCAGTGAGTTCAGCCATGGGGCCCCGGGGTGGGTTTTTTTTCTATCAAAACTGCAGCATTTTTAAATTCCGAGTCACCTGGCCGGCTCCTCTAGGCCACAAGTCTTACCTACCTGGGTCTTTCCCGGGCTCCCTGTTCCCGCAGAGACTGAGAAGTCATTCCGAATGGGATGCTCCTGATGGGACCAGCGTCTTAGTGCCTCTGAGGCAAGGCACACATGCCCCGGGCACCGTTTGGACAGAGAATGGACAGAAAGAAGAAAAGCAGTTCCAGAGCAGGGCTCGCAAAGCACAGCTCCCATCCCGCTGATAGCGCCGCAAGCGGCGTGCTTAAAGGCAAGTAACTGTATGCTTTCTGGGTGTTTATGGGCCCCGCTTGGGCACACACTTTTCCCAAGTGTAGTGTTTCCCGACACTAAGTGAACCTTAGAATTGCCTGAGAAGTTTTTTTTTTTATTATTTTTTTTAATTCCCAAACCCAGGCTGCTTCAGACCAATTAATTCAGAATCCCCTGGGAGATTTTTAAAATCTTCCCAGATGATTCCACGGGACATCCAGGCTCGAGCACCGCCATTCTGAAGAAAGCCACATGCTTCCACGTGGGGCTTTTAGGAGGGAAATCTCTACGTCTTAAAAACCATGTGCAACAGAGTTTTGCAAATGCAATTAGTTGTTGTTTTATTTATTTCCTACTTCTCCTAAAGAACTTGTAAGGGTTGGCACGCTGTTGCCATCTGTAAGGCATATGACAATAACAGACAGCCGCCTAATAACCAGGAAGGCATTACCAGCCCAGGGCTCTAAATTACTTGGATTCATCCGGAAGGATCTGTGTGGATGAGGCCACGTATTGCTTGATCTCCGTGTCTTCCGGTGGCAGTGCCAGAGTGGGAAGGGCGTGTTTTCTGGGCTCTGCATTGTTCTTTGTCATGCTATCGAGTTGTTGCAAGATGGATTTGTAACAGACCTAAAGGTGGTATCAAAATGAAAATTAGTTCTTGGGTAGAAGAATACCAATCACGTTTGACTTGCCTGTAGCTACGGCGTCACGTCTGCCTCTGTGAGGAGGGAAATGACTTCTTAATGTGAGTTTTCTTTCTCCCACTAAGGAGAATTAAATCTATGTGGCAAAATGCAAAGCCAGTGTGCTGGCAGGCAAATGCTGAACGGAAGATCCATGACCCTCATAAACATATCGGTGGCCTGGTTGGATGCTAACGAGCCTCCTTGCGGCTCAAGCTTACCCAGAGTGGAAAATGTAGCCCAGCTGGAGAGCGAGGCTGTAGTTGCCTCGCTGTTTTACCTTCTGTATCAAAGTCAGATCTCAAATAAATGGTGAAACTTCTCCATCTGCTGCAAGCTGCCAGGGTGGGGGTCTCTGGGTGAGATGTAGAGTTTTTGAGCTGAGATGACCAACTCCAGGAATTTTAGTTGACAGGCTTTTTGTTGAGTTTGCAGGGTTATTTTCAAAGGATCTGGCTTTTGGACACATAGACCTGGCGGAGTGGAGCAGTATCTATGGAATCGTCCACTCTTCAGTGGCACAGTGGATCCTCTGGGATAAAAAGGCAAACACTGGCCGGGCGTGGTGGCTCACGCCTGTAATCCTAGCTCTTGGGAGGCCGAGGCGGGCGGATTGCTCAAGGTCAGGAGTTCAAAACCAGCCTGAGCAGCAAGACGAGACCCTGTCCTCTACTATAGAACATGAAGAAATTAATTGCCCAACTGATATATATATAAAAATTTGCCGGCATGGTGCGCACTGCCTGTAGTCTAGCTACTCGGGAGCTGAGGCAGAGGATCGCTCGAGCCCAGGAGTTTGAGGTTGCTGTGATGAGGCTGACGCCACGGCAATCACTCTACCTGGACACACAAGCGACGACTCTGTCGTCAAAAAAAAAAAAAAAAAAAAAAAAAGGCAAACACCTGTTGGCAGACATCCTGGTACCTAGTGCTACCTAGGAGGCCGATCTTTGACCTGTGAATGATTTTTCCTCAGACCTCCATTTTTCTCCCTGGTGACACGGGTTAAGGAGCACCTGCCTTGCGAGTTATTGTAAGGATATACAAAATAATGCACATCACAGCAACTTCCCTTCACGGCATGAACGTTGCTAGCTGTCCTTGGTGCTATTAAATTGTATGTCTCCATCTCAAATGACTTCACACAGAACACCACCCTTGTGCATTCTGTGAAGAATATGGTTTACACCATCGTCATTACACGATGTACGGAGCCACACACAGGAACAATAATTTAGCTAATGAAATTGGATTCTAATGGGAGATGAAGGGGGGAAATTGAGCTCTGAGAACATCTCTCTGACACAAGTGAAATTTTAGTCAATTGAATCACGTAAAAACCTGCTCAGATTATATATTTTAAATATATATATATATGCATGTCTGAGACCAGTTGTTAATTCTTGATAAGTTGTTTCTTCATTTACCCTTCATTTTCTGTTTCCCTCCTCCTGAAGCTTCTTTTGAGGAAATCCCATTTCTTACTTAGTTCTTGGTTAGTATCATAAATTCGCTTGGGGGGCTATCTCAATCCACTGAACAAAGTGCTTGGACCTCATTCCGGAGAGAGTAAACCAAAGAGAGTAGTAGCGCAACCACAGGACAGCTTGGAGCATGATTTGGGTGGGAGGCAAACTAAACCCTTCAAAATATAGGAAGTTCGAGGCTCTTGGGGACTATGGTGATGGCAAGATGCCCCCCCAGCCCCCATTCCAGGATGGACTGCCACGCCCAGCCTCAGAAGATGCCCACCAAGGCAACCACAGTGTACGCTAATCTGATTATTTATTAGAGAAGCTGGAAGTGTGGATTCTTATGTGAAACTACCCCCATCCTCAAATTTTGGCAACTAAAGAAATGAAAACGGGCACTCATACCCACACCCCCTCCTTGGCCCCTCGAATTTGCGAGTTCTGCTCAGCCCCACCTATATTGGTTCCAGGAGATCTCAAGGACCCACTGATGAGCCTATTCCATTTTTTTTTTTTTCTCTCCAGAGCTCCAGAACATGGGCAACTGATCGAGGCAGGGGGA